CGGCGCTTTGTAAAGTGAAAAAAGTCGTAACATGCAACTTTTGTAAAAACAAATGAACATGGCACGGAAGCACCACTGTTATGACGCAGCACCTGAAAAGAAAACACGTTGGAGCCTTCAATGGCAGTGAAGAGAGCTGATCAGCAGGATGAGTAACCATGTTTGTTTCATTTTAAAGTGGGGAAACGTAACGTTAGTTTCTCAGGTAGCTCATCTGATGCTTTCCTTACCTTGTTAGTAGGTTACAGACACTGACAAGGTTGGCTACTTATTTTACTTTTAATTTCATTTAAATTTGTTTAAGCAGCGTTTATATTTTCTTTATAAATAAATTAACTTGCAAATTATGAGGGCAAGGCTTTTAAAGTTTAAATCTTCTGGCAAAGATAAAGAAAAGAAGATCCTGCAATTTATGGAAGTAAAGCAGAACAAAATCCAGCAAGATCAGTAATATGTCAATGAATTATCTGCCACATTCCCATGTAAATATCTGTCTTTGGAGGATGTGTCATTTTTATTCCAAATACAATTTATAATTTGAATCACAGGCTATTTTTATCTCTATGGTTCAGTATTTTCTCAAGCAGCAACTTTAACTGCTATACTTTCCTGTCTTAAAAGGCAGAACTCTTCTAGTCTAAAAAAACTCATTTGTTGAAATGGGGGGACCTATTGTTTGAACCCCTTAGGGGCTTTAAAAAACAAAAATGCCTGTCTCTTTTTGCGCTTTATGAAACAAAGTAGCCTATATTTTGTGGATGTACAGCTACATTTCTCATGTAAGTTTGCGTAGTTTTTACACAAACATTTATTTTTCATATTGCACCAGTACAGTTAATGAGCAACCTGTACTTGTGGGCTTGTTTGTTCTGTCTAAAATGTTTATTTTGGAATAAAGAGGTTAATATAAAAAAATTTTTTTGTCCGATTCATCGATTAATCGAAAAAATAATCGGCCGATTCATCGATTTTTAAAATAATCGTTAGTTGCAGCCCTATCTATGTATACACCCAAAACTGAAAAAAATACATAGAAAGGTTATAGAAGCGTTATAGAAGATTCTTAGACATCAGGCATATGCTGGCTAAATCATCAAGGTGTGACAGGGCCCTAAGCTCACTATAACTTCTCTGTCCTCCATATTGAGACAAATTTCCCATTTCCCCTTTAAGGGATATTTTGTCATAATTTCTCTTTTTTACTGCCTTTAAAAAAAAAGAGTGCTATTACATCCGTTATATGTTTTTTATTACCTCCACTAATAATGGGAAACATTTTAATGAGTGGAAAATTTTATATCAGTTTTGACATAAGGCTGATCCCCCATCTACAGGTGCTGGTCATAAAATTAGAATATCATGAAAAAGTAGATTGATTTCAGTAATTCCATTTAAAAAGTGAAACTTGTATATTATATTCATACATTACATACAAACTCATATATTTCAGATGTTTATTTGGTTTAATTTTGATGATTACAAATGACAACAAATGAAAATCTCAAATTCATCATATCAGAAAATTAGAATATTACTGAAGACCAATAAAAACAAAGGATTTATAGAAATGTTGGCCCACTGAAAAGTATGAACATGAAAAGTATGAGCATGTACAGCACTCAGTATTTAGTTGGGCCTCCTTTGGCCTGTATTACTGCAGCAATGCGGCGTGGCATGGAGTCGATCAGTCTGTGGCACTGCTCAGGTGTTATGATAGCCCAGGTTGCTCTAATAGTGGCTTTTAGCTCTTCTGAATTGTTGGGTCTGGTGTATTGCATCTTCTTCTTCACAATACCCCATAGATTTTCTATGGGGTTAAGGTCAGGAGAGTTTGCTGGCCAATTAAGAACAGGGATACCATGGTCCTTCAACCAGGTACTGGTAGCTTTGGCACTGTGTGCAGGTGCCAAGTCCTGTTGGAAAATGAAATCTGCATCTCCAAAAAGTTGGTCAGCTGCAGGAAGCAAGAAGTGCTCTAAAACTTCCTGGTATGTGGCTGCGTTGACCCTGGACCTCAGAAAACACAATGGACCAACACCAGCAGATGACATGGCACCCCAAACCATCACTGACTGTGGAAACTTTACACTGGACTTCAAGCAACGTGGATGAAGTGCCTCTCTTCTTTTCCTCCAGACTCTGGGACCTTGATTTCCAAAGGAAATGCAAAATTTACTTTCATCAGAGAACATGACTTTGGACCACTCACCAGCAGTCCAGTCCTGTTTCTCTTTAGCCCAGGCAAGACGCTTCTGACGCTGTCTGTGGTTCAAGAGTGGCTTGACACAAGGAATGCGACAGCAGAAACCCATGTCTTTCATACGTCTGTGTGTGGTGGTTCTTGAAGCACTCACTCCAGCTGCAGTCCACTCTTTGTGAATCTCCCCCACATTTTTGAAGGGGTTTTGTTTCACAATCCTCTCCAGGGTGCGGTTATCTCTCTTGCTTGTACACTTTTTTCGACCACATCTTTTCCTTCCCTTCGCCTCTCTATTAATGTGCTTGGACACTGAGCTCTGTGAACAGCCAGCCTCTTTAGCGATGACCTTTTGTGTCTTGCCCTCCTTGTGCAAGGTGTCGATGGTCGTCTTTTGGACAACTGTCAAGTCAGCAGTCTTCCCCATGATTGTGTAGCCTATAGAACTAGACTGAAAGACCATTTAAAGGCTTTTGCAGGTGGTTTGAGTTAATTAGCTGATTAGAGTGTGGCACCAGGGGCCATCAATTTTGAACCTTTTCACAATATTCTAATTTTCTGATATGATGAATTTGAGATTTTCATTTGTTGTCATTTGTAATCATCAACATTAAACAAAATAAACATCTGAAATATATGAGTTTGTATGTAATGTATGAATATAATATACAAGTTTCACTTTTTAAATGGAATTACTGAAATCAATCTACTTTTTCATGATATTCTAATTTTATGACCAGCACCTGTACAAAGAACCATCTTGAGACACTGTTGAGGGATAAACTAGCACCAATGTACAGACAAACAGCGCGTTTCCCCTTCTGGCAGCTCAGTGTGATTGATAGGCGGCGGTGAGGATCATTAGACGCTAACCCAACAGCTGAAAGTCTGCACGACTGCAGCACAATGGAGAAACATGAATTTGCAGCAGCAGCACAAGAAGGAGCTAATGAAGGATGCTGGGTATAAGTAAACTAAACTCCCTAAATTAGCGTGAAGCTAACCATTTCCATTGGTTTTAAATAGACTGTGTTTCTCATTACCGTAGAAAGCATAATGGTAGATCCGGTCAATGTTTTTTATTGTTGGTCACAGTAAATGCAAAAACTAGTAATGTGATGCAGTTTGAACATTAAAAAAATCACAGACCTCTTCAGCTGAGTTTATACTCCAGAAGTATCAGATGACATAGTTATATTTAAAGGCTGGTTTATGCTCAGAAAATGGGTCATCTGCATGTGTGTCGCAGTTATTGCAGATAACCCCCCCACCCCCACCTTTTCGCAGACACTCTGGTGCACCTCTCCAAAATTGCAGGTGACCACAGACAGTGCTGCAGACAGGAGGCCTGTGATTGGTCAATTCTACATCTACTCCACACTAGACGTAGTACCTGTTTGGTACCTAATGGCCGAAACTCTGGCTGTAGTGCCGTCAACAATGCCTGGCACACCTCAGACACTATCCCAGACACCATAAAGGAAGTTAGTTTGTAGCTCTGTGCGACGGTCTGTTGGTTTGCACCTGAAGCAAAAACACGCCGCACCACGGTAAGTCTTTAAGGAACACTCATAGATGAACTATGCGTCATCCAGCGTTGGATTACGGGTTGCAGATGGCGAACAAGCTCATCAAACAGACACACAGACATCCACAATCCAAGCTAGTTCTTGATTGTCCCTCTTGCGTTGTGACATGGAATAACATAGTGCAGACCACGCTTCAATATGGAGCATAAATCAAAAATATTTGCGTCATACCTGCGACACACTGCGGCGGGAGTATAACCAGCACTTAATTTGTCAAGGCTTTTGGACACATAGCAGCTACCGTTGCAGCAATATGTGTTTGAGGCTGTGATGGTTTGGTGTTTGAGGGAAATACCCCGATTTTACAGTTCAGACTGACCTAGTGAGACGTTGCTCTGATCCTCCTGCATTGTTTGGGAATCCATTTCAAAGCTGGTCCCTCCATCCCTGCCTTCTAAGGCTGCTCTCCAACTGCTGATGGCCGGTAGTTCAGCTGCCTGCGAGCGCTCAGGGTGAGTCCAAGTTGCTGACACAGTGAACAGTTTTTTTTTCACATCTAAGTGCCATTAGGAAGGTGAACATTTGACCATTTCCCCGGTCGTTATGCTCACTTAAGTTTGGAGTAACGGCCTAATTTCAGTGTAACTCTAAAAACTTTCACGCTAACCAGTGGCTGCTCAAACACCTTTTAAGAAAATAGCTTATTTGCCAAAATTCATCACAACAGCAAGAATTTACAGCGGAATGGCCGACGCTGTAATATAGAAAACGTTTTCATTAAAGACGTTTTCATTTAGCTTGGGAAAATTGATAAGCAGATTCAAATAAAGGTGTTCGGATCATGTTTAGAGTTAGCTTTTCACAACACAGCATTTTAAAAGTCGGGAAAAAGTAGTTTGGGTTTTTTATTTTTACACTTTTGAAACAGTTGGTTTTGCACCATCAATTACAATGCATTAATATTAACTAAAAAATTTGCAAGAATTGTCACTCACAAAATAAAGCAATCTAGCGCCTAACCCTACCTTCATTTCCCAACCCTACAAGACAGAGATTTCCACTGGTCTTGGTTCCTTCTTTTCACAAACACCATCTAAAATGATGTAAATCCTGCTGCAGGCATTTTCACATAACCTTGCACATAAAAGAAAAATAACTGCCTGTGTGTGTGTGATTGCTAACAAGACAGAGTGTGTGCAGTCATGCGTGTGGGATGTACAACCATGCGGGCAAAGTGCCAGCAGGCTCCATGGCAGCGGGAGAGTTGGACTTACCAAAGATATTTGTTGAATGTCCTTTCTTAGCGAGGGGCTTCAGCTCGTTGTGGCCCCAGCCGTATTGTCTGTAGCTGTCCCATGCATGTTTCATCATCTGACAGAAAAACAAAGCAGGACAGGAAAACAGGTGCATTAAAGGCGGTCGTCCCTCTGAGGAGCAGCCAAAGCTCCGGCCTGCAGCTTTGGAGCCAAACCAGCGGCTCTACTGGATGCTGATTACAGATTTATAATCAATGTTTGATCATCTGCAGGGTCACATTAAAGCAGCATTCTGAGCACTTCAGACTGAAGCCTGTGTAAAGCAGGCATTCATTCAGCTGCAGAAGCTGAATAAGGTGAATTAAATGGAGGAAGGAGCTTTGACTACGATGTGATCTTACATGCTCAGGATTTCAAGAAAAGATCCTGTTTTAGCAGAAATTAGCCAATGCTGCAGATCCTTGGAGGACAATAGAGCCATTTGTAAATGATCAAAATCTTTCTTTACTGCATGTAACAGTTTCCCATTAAATCCTGGAAAGAACTCCTGGATTTTACAGGAAACGTGTTAATTTTAAAGACAACATGCAAGTATTTTGTTTTCTATTTTCTGCACATTCCTTTCTTTCCCTTCGTCTTACAGCCTAAAAGGCTACAGACGACAGAAACGTTAAGGAAAAAGGATAAAGAGCAAGCCAGTAGGAGATAAGCTTTGACACAGAGACGCTGATGAGAAGAGACGCTGGAGGGGTTAGGAGCCAAGAGAAGAAAGGGTGCCAGGCTGAGCTGCTCTCCTCCTCAGGCTGTGCTGGAGACGGACAGTCGACCCTCTGTGTTCTCCGGTCAGTTACTGTCCCATTTAGAACAAACCGATGTGTGGAAAACAACATTTATTTTAAATAGTCACCGGTGGGCCAATAACCTCCCAAATATTGCTTCCAAGTTGCCGCTTTGATGGCGATGTGTCAAACACTGACACTGCAAATGAATGGTCCTCAAATAGAAAACCAGTAGGTCTAAAATTGACCAATACAGATATATAAACTGGCCAATATATCAGCAATCTCTATAATATAGCTGAGTTTACAGAGATTTAGTCTTTGAAAGATAGGATAAAAAAGATGAAAGTTGCCTTCCTCAGCTAATTCAGTGAACAAAAATAAAAGTGTATGATATCTGTTCCTGTGGAAGGTAGCAGATAAGAGAGACGGACCGAGCTGGAATCCAGAACTAGGTCAGAAGAAGCTGAATGGGCCTCCAGCAGCGTAGCCCGATGACAGCCAACACCGATCGGACTGTCTTAGGTTTTCTTTTCGTGCCATCCAGACCCCTCCTCAAACCCTTCTCCTTAGAGTAGCCTGGGAGCCAAACCACCACAGAAGAAGACCAGGAGCACTGCAGCTTTCTGAGACCCGCATTACTATTATTACCAATAAAACACACCATGACAGAGGCGCTCAGATGCAAGGTGACTGGCTGAATTTCTACTGGCCCATATGCCAAGGACAAACTGTACAGAGCTGGGTGTTTGGCTCGGTTGGCAAACCACTTAAAAATAAAAAGGGAATCCAGAACACTAATTGGACATTAAGATACAATATTCAAAAATTGATTCTGAGAGTTCCTGCTTGCCATCGCTGTGTCTGAAAGGCTAAGGAGAATAAGTGGCCCAAATGGCCGGCTGGTTGTCCAATCAGAGCCAGATCTCATCAGGATGTGGAAGCACTAAGAGATTAATAAGAAATCAAACTGCTATCATTAAGTGGTTGATCAGTAGGAGACATCATTAAGTTACTCTAAGGGCTAATGACTACCTGACTAGCTACTATACAGTCTCATTTACACATTATGGCGTTAGGAACCTGCACTCACAGCATGGCAGCAGAACCAACCCTACTATTATTTAAACATACATTTTTTTTTTTTCAGGGCAGGCAGTACTGATTGTTAACCCTCTCTTCTATTAATATGATATCTAATATGTATAGGAGTTAGCTTTAAAATACAGCACTGTAGACTAGAGGTGAGTATTGGCATGAGTGTTGCGATTCGATACATGTCGCTATACTTGGGTCACGATACGATATTATCACGATATTGCAGTATCACTATATATTGCCATATTTTCCCCTGCTATCAAAATCAAATGATGAGATAAAACAGCAAGTGCTGTATATTTTCATCAGAAAATATTGATTAGGTATTATTATCCATGTTGTTTGGGGTTTTCTTCCACTGTGACTGCCTCAAATACAGATTTGGTGCTGCACACACAGTAAAAGGGCTCCACAGCGCTTTCTGCCAGAGTGGTGGTGCAGAGGTAGCCCAGTTTCCCATCAATGTTTTATGTAACCATTTTTATTTTTGTTTAATCGATACTAAGAAGTGAAAAATCGATATTATATTGGGCAGCTGAATATAACGATATCTCGCCAAAACGATTATTTCCCACACCCCTACTGTAGACACAGTTCTGTTGTTTCCATCGTTTACCTCCTGGAGAGCTTAAACCAGGAGAAGGGCGACAGGCAGCCTGAATAAAACGCCATTGTCTGAATGAACAAAACATGGACAAAACAAAACAACATTGGTTCGGGAATAAGAGCGTTTAGCTAATCTCCTTTATGGCGGCTTTCTAATGTCATACTGATATATAACAGATGTACATGTGTGTAAGCTTGTTTCCATTTCTTGGCGTTCCATTTCTCATGGCTTATGCTAGCTTAGCTTAAAAAGCTTTCAATAGTCGATGCGGAGCGCACAGCCATCTTTGTTTACCAGCAATAAATGGGACAATATCAGGAATGTATATTATAAACTGAATTCTGATTAATTGTCTATTAAAGATTTATTAGATCACATTTTTTTCTCTATGATTAACGGCTAAGGTCTGACTAGAAGGAATTTCTTTCAATGTTGTGTTGCTGCTGTCCAGTAGAGGGCGCCACTGCACATTCTGGAGCAAAGCCTTAATAGTATTTGCAAGAGAAGTATTTCCTGAGCAGAGGAGCATGTTGGAGCAGAAACATGAAGCGATCCAGAGTAGAAATCAACCGATAGTTTTCTTTTTTTAGGGATGATGTGGATACCAATTATTCTGACATCTAACTGATCCATGATATTTCTTTGGGTTGATTTTTGAAGCCATTTTTTAGCTTTTTCTTCCTCCATTTCAATGAAAAGATACAAACAATGATGATTCATGTTATGTAATGTAAATCCCTTTATTATCCCACAATGGGGAAATTTACTCTCTGCACTTGACCCATCCCCTTTGGGAAGCAGTGGGCTGCCATTGTGTCGTACCCGGGGAGCAGTGTGGGGTTAAGGTTTTGCTCAGGAACCCAAAGTTCAGGCTGTGGGGATCAAGCTGGGTACTTGCAACCTTCTCAGAGCACAAGCACACTGCTCTATCCACTAGGCAAACACTCCCCATTATATGTTTCATTCAAAAAAAAGGAAACCTTTATTAACAAAAAAACATTAACAATGCATAGCAAAACCATTGAGCAGCAATGTGTGCGTCTTACCTGATCTCAAGGTGTGGCTGCCAAGCGCTCTAATCCGCTAATATCTAATATATATTGTAACTGGTATTTGGTATAGTCATGTATCGGCCGATAAATATAGAAGAAATATTTTAATATTGGGCAAAAATATTGGTCGGCCAATAGGTCAGTCTTTATCATTAACCTCATCGTTTTACTTGAGAACATGATAGATCTGATCTCCACAAAGTCCTAAAAAGATTTAATTACTGAAAATATTTGTCCTTTCTTAAAGGAATTGTACACCCAAAACATGATTAGCCTTCATTTTCTACTCACCCCCATGCTGAACAACACTCTGGAGTACTTTTTTGATATCTCAAATGCATCTGGAGATCTGGGAGGCTTCTTGCTGTCTGCTGACATTCAAATAATGGAGGTCTATGGTGCCCGAGACAGAAAGGTCCATAAAAGTCCACAAAAAACGTTTCAATATTCCTCCATACTGCTCGTCCAATGTATTCCAAGTGTCCTGAGTGGGTAGCATCCAGAATTTACTCGAAACGAAGTCATTTAGAATGTTTTTAGAGCATAAACAGTAGTGTATAGGATTTCCTGAAAGCGCGTTCACGACGCTACGGAAACCGCGGCAGACCAACCCAGACGAAAGTGCGCATTCAGCTCAGCAAAGAACTCATGCTCTTCCTCAACACTGACGTCCTCAGACATTTTTCTTTCGTTGTTTCTTTCTTTGCACAGGTAAACAGCACATTTCTTCTTCTACACTTGCATTATTGGCAGAGCAGACGCTGAATGCGTACTTTCATCTGGTTTGGTCTGCCGGCTTCCGTAGCGTCGTGAACGCGCAGGTGCGCGCTTTCTTTTATGGACCTTTCTGCCTGGGGCGCTGGGGACCTCCATTATTTGAATGTCAGCAGACAGCAAGAAGCCTCCCAGATCTCCAGATGCATTTGAGATATCAAAAAAGTACTCCAGGGTGTTGTTCAGCATGGGGGTGAGTAGAAAATGAAGGCTAATCATGTTTTGGGTGTACTATTCCTTTAAGGTGAACTGATATTCCTTTACCTAACCTTTTATTAGTTTATTTTTCTCATAAATACCATGTGTAGGTTTGTCCTTTAGGCTGCTCCACTATTCAGAGGTGAGAACAGAAAGTCATCAGGATTTGCTCATCAGACAGTTTTACACCAGATGGAACCAGGATTTAAACCTGGGCCCCGCAGTTACAGGTTTAAAGGACTGCACCATGGGGACTGCTACACATTTCATTTTGACATCTAAAAACCAAAAATGTCAAAAATTGATTGAGATTAACAAAAAGAATAAAAAATAAAATTAACTGCTGTTTCTTTTTCTTACTTTGCTCGGTGTTTCACTATTGCAATCGCCTCGGCTACTCTGTTTTAATTATCAGATGGAGAGCTTTGTGTCGGCCAAGTTAACAGATACAGATGGGCTTGGTTTTTGGAGAGCGGTGTATTGCTAGCATAAGGGCTAAACCATCTTATTTTAGAGCTAACGTGTTACGATGAGCTCCGAGTTAGTCCATTGTCATGGATGGGGTTCCTAACCCTGCCAAAGGTTCGGAGTGGAAAGTTGAAGAGGT